CGAATACACTTTGAAAGGCAGGAGGAGTAAACATCATTACCCTCATTCTTCAGAGACAGAGACTCTTAAATAGATTGCCCAAATCACTGAGCTCGCCCCATGATGGGGCTGAAACACACAGATTTTCTGCATCTAAATCTTGTGCTCTTCCCACTCCCTTGTCTGCTGGCAAAGAAGGGAATGGCTCCATGCACCGTCAGAGGGGATGTGTATCTGATCCGCAGTGCAAAGGATCACTTGCTCCCAGTAAATAAAAACAAATCTGAGCTGTAAGTGGCCTTGCAGGTGAGGCTCAGCCACCCATTTCTAGCAAAGCTAGGATCGAAATGCAGGGCTCTGGACTCCTGGGCCAGTGCTCCTTCACGATGGGGGCATCGCCCTGTGTCTTTCACTGTCCCTGTCAAAGAAAGGCTATCGGGCAGCAGAATACTTGGTCCAACAGTCATGTTTTGTTTTTATCCAGATGTTTCGGCCTTAAAGGCAAAGCCTTTCTTGATCTAGGAGAGCATCCAAAAATCTGGAGAAAATTAAATAGTTATTCTAAAATTAAAGTTACTATAGGAATGACAGGAAAGACACCAAACATTTTAAGCTGTGAACAATTCACGTATAGGTGATACAAATAATGGTCCAAGTTGATAAAAATTAAAATACATTATGTGGGTCATAGTATGCAAGGTGGAGCAAAAGTAGGTTTACAGTTGTTCATTTGGAAAATAATACAATAATGAGTAGATAATACAAGAATAAACTCTGTTTCCATACTCACAACTTACTTTAGCCCCACCCTGTATGTATATCAAGTAATACACATTAAAATATACTGTGTGGTTCGTGGATTATTATACGTGTAGAGTATTTTTAACAAACACAGTATGTTTTTAAAACTATCATAACCAAAGAGAAGCTATCACTCAATTAAGCCATGCTTGTTATAACAATAAAAGCTTCATCATTGTGAGCTAGGATTATAGGGGATTTCTTCAAGTGTCTGGCATGAAACCAAAAGATCTGTATTCAGAGTTTCGCTTGGCCTCTTTTTAGCTTTATGACTTTGGCCAAATGACTGTCCCCCTGCCAGCCAAGTGCTTGAAACACAGAGTAGACCAGACACTCAGCTATGGGTTCCCAGCCTCTCGGTCTCACCATCTGATCATGAGGGGTTGACAGTTACTAGCCAGGTTTCTGTTAGTACCACTGGGGTGTCCTTAGTGTGAGTTAAATAGTAAATCAGATATTGCCACACCCCTGTTTAAAACTCTGTATAACTTCTCTGTCCAATATGGTAGCCACTGGTCCCCTGTAGCTATTGAGCATTTGCCAGGTGGCTGATCTCAGAGAAGTCCTGAAAATATAAGATACACCAAATCGCAAAGATGTAGTGTGAAGGAACAAGTGTAAAACATCTCAATAACATTTTATATCCATCACAGATGGAAATGACCATATTTTTGATATATTGGGTTAAATGAAATATAAATAGTTCACCCATTTCTTTTCACTTTTTTAAGTGGCTATTAGAAACTGTAAAATGACATACATGGCGCACATTATGTCTCCGTTGGAAAGCAGTGATCTACAGCTTCTCACTGTTCTCAGATAAAAATGCAAACCCCCTTAGTGTGATCTACAGGGCTCGACACGATCTAATCCCTGACCACCCGTCTCGGGTCCTCTCGTGCATTCTCCCTGCCCCCATTACCTTCCAGCCAAACTGACCTTATGATCCCTCTGACATAGCAAGCTCATGTCCACCTGAGGGTCTTTGTACTCATGACTCCAGGCTTCTGAAATGTTCTTTCCATGGCGGCTCTACTCATAGCTGACTCATTCTCCTTCTTCAGGTCTCAGATCACATGTCACCTCCTCCGCCAGGCCTTTCTGGACCACCTGGTCTGAAGGAACCACACCCACAGTAAATCCCTCCTCCACTTCTTTCCTCAGAGGCACTCATTGCCATCTGTCGCTCCCTTATCCCATCATCTCTTCATCTCCTAAAGCCTGTCTCTCACCGCTAGAATAGAAGTGTGTGAGGGCAGGAACCTCTCCTCTCTTAGTCACTGTCTTTTGTATCCACAGCTCAGGCACAGTGTAGTTCTCACTTCAATGTTTGTCGAATGAATGAATGAATGAATGAATGAATGAATGAATAGTGAAAAAAGCATGAGTCAAAAATTCCCATTAGGGCAAACCCAGTGATAATGATGAGAACAATGCCACCATCTTACTCCAGGTGCTCACTTTCCCCCCCTGTAATCAATCCTCCACAGTCATTGTAGGAGGCACTGGGGTGTAACTGAAAGGACACAGTCTGGAGTTAGAAGCTCTGAATTCTAATTTCAGTTCTGCCACTTACTGGCTGTGTGACTTTGGATAGATCCCTTGACTGTCCCCAATCTCTGTTTTCTCTCATAGTGGTTGTCTTGAAGTTCAAATAAGAGAGAGCTTTGTCAACCAGAGAGCCCCAGGGATATTTATAATACCAAGATGTTCTTGAAGGGGAGAGATTCTTTCATGTACCTGGGTGTCCCCAGCACCAAGCACAAGGTTTGGCTTAAGGCAGGTGCCCCAAAACTACTTGATGGATGAATGATGCTTCTAATAAGCCCCCACACTACAAAGCAATGAACCTTGGGGAAGCCAGATCTCTTTATTGTTCCAGCCTGGAACAGAGACCCCGTTTTTTCCCAAAGAGAAGTAAAGGGATCTCAGAGTTGGAGCGAGGCTGCAGTATAACAGCCATGTTGCCTCCGTTTTCCAGAACAGCCCCAAATGATAGTCGTCTCTCCAGGGGTCCAGCCAAGACTGACTCTCAGTCTCCTGGAGTCAGCATCCTCACATCTGGAGAGACAGCAAGCTCCAGCAGGCAGCAGGATCACCTGTCTGCCACAACACGTTCTTTTTCCAGAAAGGAGAGATTGGACCACTCCAAGCAGTAGCTCCTCATTCCACACTCTAAGAAACGGTCACAATATCTGCACCCTTAATTGAAAACGGGGCCAAGGGTAAAACTTAGGAGAGGGGAAGGGGGTCTTGTCTTTGGAGCCAGCAGTATTAAAGTTAATAAAATTAGAATTATTCTGTGGAACAATGATTTCTCGAGATGGGTAGAATTATTCCAATGATTTGTCAAGATGGGGCAAGAAGGTGCCTGGGAAGGGTGGGAAATGACTTCACTGGGAAGGTTTCTGCCTAGCTTGCAAGGGATAAAGCTTGCCTTTGTTATTCTCCTGGCTGTCCTTCCCACACCTCTGAAATAGAAAGGCTTCGGGCATGACATCCCAGTACAGCACCGTTGTTCCTAGGATTTGCTACTAAAAGGGCTATTCATAGGGAAACCTCTCTCAGGCCAGGCTTCTGATGGCTACAGATTATTTACACACTGGTTTAACATGCAGCCCACCTTGGAAGTTTGGGCAAACCAGACCAGGTGTGGTACTGCACCCTCTCTCCCAGTCCCACCTCTCCTGCTCACTACTGATTAAAAGCCAGACTCCAACCTCTGTTCTTTCAACAAATGTGTTCTGAACATCTATCACATGCTGATGTTGGGGCTATAGCTGGGAAGCAAGCAGGATAAACACCAATTCTGGCAGAAGTCCATGGAAGAAGAAAAAGACCATCCCTTGCCTTAAAAAAAGGGAGGGGGGAGTCACACACAGAACGCCTTTTCCAGGAACGTGAAAAAGGAATCACAATTTGGGATCATTGGTCAAGATCTGGGATTGCTGGAAATGACGCTGTGTTAAGAACCAAACGAAGGAGGCTTTAAGAAGAAAAGTGCCTCCTTAAATAAGACAGTCCTAGAAAGTCCCAGCTCCCCCTGCATCTCCAAATCAGTCCCGCATGATGTACTTTGAAACAAAACCACCCTTCAGTCCCCCTGCATCCTGGCTTTATTTTAGGCCACTTGAGCCCTGTTTTCTGGCCCTGCGAATGTGGGTTACAAGGTGAAACCCACATGGCAGAGCAGTTTTCTCCCCAGAGTGAAAAGGGGCTTGTGTTTAGTCCCCTGTCCACGCCCCTGGGACCCACGTCTGTGGAACTGGCTGAATAGAGGAATGTGGTTCATAGGCAGAGAGCAGGGCATAGTGAGGGAAGACCTGGCCAGCGCTCGGATAGCAGTTACGTTAGACGCTGCAGTAGCTGGAATACGAACTCCCCAGACTATGATTTGTAATCCCTGCCCCTTCTGCCCAGGTGAGTTCTCATTCCCTGCCTCGGGTTAAAGCCTTGCTGGAGAGTTCAGTTCGGACCAGCTACCCTCTCTGATCATATTTCTTCCCCTGTCAAATGGGAGTGATGGTCGTCAGGAAGGAAACACGCCGGGAGCAGTGAAGATGTACATCTTGGCATCTATAAAATCCGGAAAGTCTCTCCCTCACTGAAGCAGGAGGATTTGCACCAGAGCAAGTTAGAAACGGCAGATTAATGCTTTATAAACACTACGTTAAAATATGCATTACTCGCTGGACTCTCACCTCCTCCCCAGTGACTGGAAAATCTGCCCAGGTTTGGGAAAGGCCAGCCAAGGCAATGCCGCTGCATACCACCTGCCTCCCCTCCGCTCCAGCCCTCCGACGACGAGGCAGAAGGGTGGGAGGGGAACACAGCTCAGAGTTTATTTTGGGACCCAGCTCACTAAAAATACCTCCGCCTTCCTGTTTGATCACGCTCCCTTTTGACCTGAATGAATCGCGGAGCCCAGCGGCCCGCCCCACCCTTGGCCCGTTGTCCTTTAAAGGAGAAGGGCGTGGGGACGGATTCCTGCGCTCGAGGGACAGATGTGAGCCGCCTGGGCTGCAGGGGCCGCACCACTGACGTCAGGGCCGCGCGCGCTCGCGGCCGCCTCCGGCCCGGCCCCGGCCGCGAAGGGGAGGGGGGAGCCACGCGCTGGGATTGGCTGGCCAAGTGCGAGCGCCCGCGCGGATTGGCTGGCGAGGTTTTAGAGGGAGTCCCACTCTCCAATTAAAGGACCCGCCGCGCCCCGCGGCGCGCAGAGCTCCTCCTGGGCCCGCGAACTTGGCCATTCAGCCACCGCTGTCCCCGCTGAGCGCCCTCGCGCCTCTGCCTGAGAAGCCGGGCGCTGTTTCTCCAGTCCCGAGGAAGATGGCAAAGGTGGCCAAGGACCTCAACCCAGGCGTTCAGAAGGTGAGCTGCGCGATGTCTGTACTTACCCAGACCATTTCTTTTCCCCGTTTCCGTCGCCCATGTGTTCGTGAAGACTTCGCTAGAAGTGAGAAGGAGACTCATTAAATGCCAAGACTTCGCAGAAAACAAAATAGTTGGGAATACTTGTTTAAACTAATAGGCACCCCTGGGGCGGGGGAAGCCTTGTGTAAAGTATTTGCAATGAATCTTAGTTCTTTGGTGATGCTAATTACAATTTAAATAAGGTTAAAAAAGACTTTCTTTACATGATAATCCAATGGTCTGTAGGGGGAGAGGAACCCTACCTGCCCCTGTCCCTTCCCCTTCCAGCGACTGAGGTGAAAGTTGGGGGCAGGGGAGTGGCTATACTATTTACTCACAAGGAATTCCCCCTTTGCCGGCACTAGTGTTTGGTGTTTTCCACACACGTTTCTTTAGTTGGTGATGTTGGAGAGTGGCAGCAGTCCCAGCACACGGGAACTAATTTCTGTCCCCAAGGGCTGCACGTTTCCCTTTCAAGAAGGGCTGGCCAGGAGCCCAGGAGGTCACGGGTCAATTACTGCAGGAGGGGCCTGCGCTTGGCCTGTAGCTCGACACCCACCGGTTATTTACCTGAATGCAGCTGGGAGAGGGCACAGGCTGGAGGCTGTAGAACATGAGCTGGAAGGGAGCAGAGACAGCCTAGGCAGATGAAGAAACTGAGGCCCAGGGCCAGAGAGAGTTGGTTCCGGCAGGCAGCAGAGAATGAGGAAAGCCTTTTGAAACCCTGGCCCTGCCACTTGCTAGGGCACCACATTGACCAACTCACTTTTCTGAGCCCCACTTTCCCCGCGTCCAATGCTGGAATGATAGTCCCCACCTCTCTCACAGTAGCAGTAACAGTAATGTTACGCTGTAAGTTAATCTCCCAAAGCAGTCTCTTTTTCCCCCTTTTTAAAAAGATCTAATTGTGTTTATTGAGAGATATGTGGATCCGGGCAGCATCCTATGTACTATAGAGAGGTGCTCCAAAAAGTTCCAAGTCAGTTATTTTTCAACTCAGATTTCACAGGACTTGGTCTTGCAAGGCAAAGTCCTCCTTAGACACCTGCCATTACCTGTGGGGTAGAACAAAAAGAGAGAGAGGAAAAAAACTATATCAGAATCAAAATAAAAATGCAAGCCAGCCACTTAAAGGCACAGCATTCACGCATCTGATTTATAGCTGCGCCACTGCACAGCTGTCCTGTGCCAGACTCACACACAGAGTCCAGCGGGCCCTTCTGGATGTGTGCACCAAGTCAGACTTCATCAGGGCATTTCCCTGGAATGTACATGCCCCTTTCATTTTGCTAGACTATTTGCAAAATCAAGTCATCTCTCCTGCTATGGAATTCTCATAACACTTTAGACCATGGTAAGATACCCATTAATTTCTACCTAGTAGTGAGTCAGACATGCACTGCTCTTATTTCTCTACATATCTTTCTAAACTCCTTAAGGGCAAAGATTTCCTGTTCATCTCTGTTCCAACAAAGTATGCCGTACACAGTGGGACTCAGTAAACCACGAGTGAACCTTTGAATATCTGTTCAGTTAAGGGCAGGATGTTCACGGACAGTACATTTTGTGCATTGTTTTTTAACTTGCTGTCACACCAGAATATTTGTGTCCAAACTGCCTCCCCAAATTCATTTGAAGTAAAAGAGTTCAAGGCTAACGAGGTAGAGTCCCTCTGTCCTCTGGAAAGTCAGATGATTTGGGGTGGTTTTAGCACAAGTAGTCTAATGGTTAATGTATGACATGAGACAGGGTACAGGGGAACCCTGTACCCTTTCTCTCTGAAAGCCAAGGTCACACTTGAAGGATGCTTTGTTTTATTTGGGGGTTTTTTTGCTTTTATAATTTTTTTTATTAAAGTATAGTTGATATACTGTATTAGTTTCAGGTGTACAATATTTAGAGGGTGGGGCAAAAGGAGGTTTGCAGTTATGATACATGAAGCAGTTTATTGTTGTATTATTAATTATTGTATTATTTTTATACGAACAACTGTAAATCTCATTTTGCTCCACCTGATATATACCCTATGATGTGATCTCCATGGTAAGTCTAGTAATCATCTGTCACTGTACAAAGTTCTTTTGACATTCTTGACTATATTCCCTGTCTTGTTTTTTAGTTTTTTGTTTTTTGAATAGGAGAGTTTAGTTATCTAGGTTAGAAGTGGAACATGTTCTCCTTCTTGTCCCCTCTGGTGTCAACTTCCCCAGCCTACAAAGGGTTTATTTTTCATTTAGATCCAATTACAGGCTTAGAGAAAGAATGTGGTGGGTAGAGATGAAAGGGCAGATATTTTTTACCTCTTGGGATTGTGACAATCAAGAGGCAGATCGCCACTTTGTAGCTTAACCAATGTCTTCAACTCAAAAAGTCAAGGGAAGGAAGTGGGGAGACGCTCTCCTTGCTGAATGTTGCAGCCATAATTACATATTGTGTCATATCAATAGCATACTGAAAAGCTTTTATTGCGTATTTACTTTTTAAATCTGCAATAGTGGGGGTGTTTTATAACATTTGGCTTCAGGGTGCATAATCATACTCAGGCATTTCAAAATCATTTCAGAGACTCTTAGAGCTGCAAGGGACCTATTTACAAAATGAGAAATAATTTTATTTTATTTTTTAAAATATGATTTTATTGATTTTTTTTAAAAAAGAGAGGAAGGGAAAGAGAGATAGAAACATGAATCAGCTGCCTCCTGTGCACCCCCTACTGGGGATCCAGCCTGCAACCCTGGCATGTGCCCTGACCAGGAATCGAATCAGGACTTCTCAGTACATGTGAGGACACTCAATCCACTGAGCCACACCAGCCTGGCAGAGAAATGATTTTAAATGGCATATAAGCTGTCTCCACCCCCCTGCCCCCAAGGGGATTGGGTGGGGTATCCCCAGCAGCTGGAAAGTCATAAAATGTTCTTCAAGAGAGAATATAAAATTCAAAAACTAGAGTAGTCTTAGAGGTCGTCTAACCAATCCCAGCAGACTGAGGGACTCACCATGGGTCACAGACATAGTTAGTGGCAGAGTTTAGAAACAGTTCCCTACCTCCTCTCATCTGTGCTAAGTCAAGTGCTCCCACTGGATGGATGCTCTTGAGTTATTTATTTTTCTGCTTGGAAGGAGGGGTTTTGTAACACAGAGAATTCCCCGAGAATTACGAAATAACCAACATTGCTTGGTAACAAAGGGCCTTGCAGGCCAAATGCCATTTCTCTTGGTGCAATCATCATTATTGTGGACTTGCTTTTCTATTGTTTATTAAATCTATTTAAGAGTTTTGGGTACTAGTATTCTTGTAACCAGGTCTGGGTTCAAATCCCAGCTCTACCACTTACTAGTTGTGTGCTCTTGGCCAAGCTGATTAATTTCGAAGTCTGTGTCCTCATTTGAAAATTGGGGAGATAGTAGCAGCATCTACCTCTCAAGATGACTATGGTTATTAAATGAGATAATGTATATAAAGAGGCTTCGCACATGAGCTCTCAAATAAAGTTAGCCATTATTATTTTCAGTAGTGGTGGTATGTTTCCATGGGTGTGTAACTGCTGAAAAGAGTCTTTTGGTGAATGAAGGACACACTTTTCTTTATAACGGTCTAGAGCAGTGGTTCTCAACCTGTGGTTTGCGACCCCTTTGGGGGTCTAACGACCTTTTCACAGGGGTCTCCTAAGACACAACAGTAGCAAAATTATGAATTATGAAGTAGCAATAAAAATAATTTTATGGTTGGGGGTCACCACAACATGAGCAACTGTATTAAAGGGTCACGGCATTAGGAAGGTTGAAAACCACTGGTCTAGAGCAACTAATTTTCATTCAGCTGAACCAAAGCTCAGCCTTGATGAGCTAGGACAAGGACCAATCATCTTGTCTTCATTCTAGCCCAATAGATACAAATCTGCTTAAACAGAACAGAGATGGCCAGTCATCAAGCATTTCACTCTGGAGTCAGAGAATTGTAGGCCTGGAAAGGGACATGGAACTCTTTTCACTTTGTAGATAAGAAAACTGAGGTCCGGCGGGGCCAAGCTCCTTATCTGAGACTGCTGAGGTGGTGTGCTGAAGCCCATTAGGCTCTGCAAGACTACAGGCCCCTCGGCTGCCAAGGAACTTGCAGGAATTTAGAAAGGACTAGAACAAAGAGATCTGAGAGCTGTTCACTGTTGACTGAGCATGTGCCAATGGACTGGCTCCAAAAGGTTCGATTCTTCCCCCCCTCAGCACAATGTCGGAGGAGCATTCAGTGGTGGTTCTTCTAAGTGTGTTGCCAGGCTCAGCTGGGCGGCTCCCTCTGCCCCGTCTACATCACATCCCTCTTGGCTTTCCTGTCTGTCAGCTTTCTCCTCCCCTCTGTACTCAGCCCAGCCCTTCCTGCTTTCACCTCCAGTTCCTGCAGCGTGCAAAACTGCTGGCGCACGGCCTGGGCAAGCCGATCCAACGTAAACACGGCTCCCCGAGAATTGTCGTTGGCTCCCTCAATCTTCAAAATATATTAAACTGTCACTTAAAGACCTCAATGAGCAAGGCATTGGAGACATGCCCATAGGTGTATAACCAACTTGGCCCAAAAAAGAGCCTTATTTAAAAAAAAAGAAAGAAGAAGAAGAAGAAAGAAAAAAGAAATTATCTAAGACCATCTTAGACAATGTCCAAAAACAGATGCTGAAGCCATTACTTTGTAAATTGCAGATGCTTGTCATATTGTGCAGACGTGTCTGAGTATGTGGGTTTGGGGGCTGATGATTGACTTTCGCCAATGCGTCCACCACCTGTGGTGATGGGAGGCAGGGAAAGGCTTGCTCACAAAGCATCTCTAGGCTTCTCTAAGCATCTCAGCTCCAAGACCTTCTCCTCGCCCAGGGCTTACAACAGTTCTACAAGTAGGCCAGTGGAAAAATGACTTTGCTACTCCCCTCTGAAGATCCTATAGTTTAATCTCTCCACATTAACTGACC